AAAGCTTAAACAATGATTTCATTACCCAGAAGCATGAGAACACAATCAGGAGTATGCCACAGTGTTGTCATCTTCTGGCATCATTGGAGAGCAAAAACAGAGCTTACAACTGGTTTAAATGGCAAAAAAGTATTTTCACAAGGGATGATATTTTGCCCTTGTTATCATATAAAATTTTCTATCAACAGTCTTTATGATTCCATTTTAAATTCACTTTTATTCATGGAATAAAAGACCCTATTGCATTAGTTATTTATCCTTGCTTTTCTACTTATCTGTCCTTTTCATTTTTGCTCTCTTATCTTTGTACCTATTTTATCTGTTTCTTTCACATATCTCTCTGGGCTTTCTTCTATCACAATTTATTGTATGGAGGTCTTTTCCTGATGCGTCTCATGAACTTACTAATTTTTCATTCATGTCTTTTCTGCGGACTTATTTCTGCTTTGAGCTGCCTCAAAAGTTATTATAAAAGGTAATTATTTTAATTATCCCTACATAAATAATTTACTTTCATCTGCCATTCACACTAGACTCTATTGATTATTGCACTTTGTTCCTGCCACTAGTCTTGTTCTTCTCGTTTTGTTACCTCTTTAGTGGACCATTTCTGGAGTTGGAAAGTGCTTTTGGACAGGGATTATGCCACTATTTCTTCTGAAAAGTGACAAACTGATGATCATTGACATATTCCTGATATTTTTTATGCTCTGTCTTTTTTTTTTTTAACTCTTAAATAATACACTTAACTCTTATAAAGAAAAAGTGTTCACACTGGATAAGAGCTCTGAATCTTTCTTCAGGCAGTATGCTATTGATGTTAATTTAAAAAAAAAATTGCCTGAGCAGAGACTCCAGGACCAGTCTCAGAGATTGTAGGACTGTTGAACTCTGGGGTTGCAAACTTTAAAAACTCATCTGAAGAGTTTCAGCAAACTCCTCTGAAGAGGAAGCAGAGTTAACTGTGAAGGTAGACAGAAATCTGAATTTCCTTCTCCACAGTAGCTATCTGTGATGAATGGTAAATGCAAAGTAGCTTTGCTTCTTTCATGGGAAGACTGAAATGGTCCCAGTGGCTGAGGTCACTGCGCTGGAAAAACAAGTTCTCTATTTAGCTAGATGAGGCTGTTTTCAGTGGGCTTACTATTTCACTTGGACTTCAGTGGTTTCGTGGGGCAGCTAACATACAGTAAAAGTTCACACCCTGTTTTCACCACACAGACATGTTTGTGTGCCCATAGTAGGTTTGCATGTGAAAAAAAACCCAAAACAACCAAACCAGAAACTTCACTCAATATGGTGACATCACAAAGAAGTTTCCAGAAGCCAATAGCAGTATCCCTTTACTGCAACCATTCACATTTTGTTCACAGCTGGGGATTGTAAAAACTGTACAGATTCCTGTAATAACATGGTATCTGTTAAGTGTTGCAGCAGGACACATTTCAGGTGTTTGATGGGTAGATGCTGTTGATCCACAAGATGGCATGTTAAAACTGTGCTTGATGTCTCAAAAGAGCAGGATCTAAACATTGTTGTGTTAGTGTGAACTGGGGCTAAAAGCTGTGTATTTTGGAAAAGGAAAAGAAAGGAAGAGCTATTTCAAATTGGAACTAGGAGCCATTTGAAAAGTACTGTCTATTTTTGCAATGCAAAATTTGAGTGTCATGGAGAGATAGTGAGGAAGAGCCCTTTTCTCTCTTACCACTAGAAGTTGGGGTTTTTTTCCTTGGTATTGTGTTGGGTTTATATTCATGATATGTCAGTAAGTGGACACTGATTTGCTGCCTCTTTCAGAAAATTATGAAAGGCTTCATGGAAACAAAATACTCATTTTGACCAAGAGTTCTGGTTGTTTGGGGATTATTAATTTAAATTACTTCAACTTAGGTTATTCAAGATTTTAAATGTACTTGGAGGAAAGAAAATTCACAGTTGTATTTTAAATAACGTATGTTTATAATTAGTATTTTTACTTGTACTGTGTGCAAGTTTTTACTGTAATAAATTGAAAATTTTTCATTCTTGTTAGCTTTCTTTTAGCTTTCATGCTATTTACAATTCATGTTTACTTCATTTTGGACAATAAAAGATAAGTTAGTTTATTGTTTGGCTCACATGTACTAAGCCTTTTAGTATATTTGAATGACAAACTGCACAGAGAATGTTAAAATTCAGATACAGTCCTCTTCTTTTACATGGAAGAAAATAGTATAAATATTTAGTTTTGTGACATATTGCACTCTATTCTTCTTTTGTTGAATATGCCCTGATGTTTCAGTCACCTAATTTGTGTGTTCTTCTTAAGGGTCTGTTTTAGAATGTACAGAAAAATATGAAAAGGCTGCTGCTGACTTTAGCAGACGTCAGATCAAGCAGTCAACTGTTAATTTTCCACTGAATTCACACTTTTGATGGCACAAGGATCTCTGAAATATGAATAAAATCAAAATCATCGTTGATAATATTCTCTTTATGTAAGAGTTAACATGTTCAAAAAATTACTTCTCTATTCAAAATTTTTTCATCAGCTCTATAGTGTTTCCAGTCTGAAAAACATTAAGTGTATTTGCATAGTCTTTTTGAGGGTTTTGTTGAGAACAGGTAAAGTCTGGTTCAGCTTTTTACCATTATTGCACAAACTTTCATCCAAACTCCCCTTCCACATCAGAATAGAAAAATCTGAATACAAAGGACTATTTTTTTTCCAGTCTCTGATAGTTGCTCTTTTTTCAATTACCTGACTATTGAAATGTCTGAAATGTTGCACATACAATTTTTTCCCAACAGTTGCTATGTTCCTTAAGGGTGTAGTTATGAAGAGAGAGCTAATTGGTAGAAGGAACATTCTTCTCTCAGCAAAAGGCATTACCTTTCCCAGCCATTCAACTTATGTAAGCATTTCATACACGTGCCAGAATCGTTTCTTATCTTTTGACTAAATGAGTGACCCCAAGAGATCAGATTTGTATTGGGTTACAGAGTTAGGAACTCGTTGACCCGAGTGAATTGAGAAAAACCTGTTTTTGCTGCTGCTCATTTTCCAGCATCTGCCATGTTTCATCCCAAGAGGACAATACGCAGCCTCTCACTGAGTTGTTAAAAACAGATTTGTTACATGGCTCCCTGGCTTACAGAGCCATTCTACAACTTTAAAAAAGTTGTATTTGGATGGAGTGTAACACTTAGAATGTGAGATAACTGCTTTTGGGGCTAGAACAACCCAAGGCAGTGTTGCATATCTATGCCATCCTGGGGACAGAGGGATAATGAGATACTTTATGCTTGTACAATGTTTCTATCGTATACCTATTGCACTTTTTAATTCTGGTCATCATTCCATGTTGAATACCTGTAAACTGTGTTCTAAGTAGGGATTATAAATTAAGCCCTCTCTGCCCCCTGAATTAAACCCTTATACAAACAGAAGATAATTATGTTGATCTCCTTAAAACATGGGTATAGCAATATCCAGTTTCCCCAGTTCACAAATCTTTCTGTGTAAAATATTCCAAATTGGTACTACTGCTAATGTAAAACCTCCCCTTTGAAAATTACTTCCAAAGTTTTAAAATAAAACGAGCTTTTACTTTTACACAAGAAGGGCAGGAAATATGCATAGTTTGATAGATTTTTTTTCTTTAATAGGGCAAGTATTTAGTTTGAATTTCCCCTGCTGTTGTTTTTAACTATAGAAATAGCTGAAAGGTTAAATCCAGTCTTTCAGTTCCTGCCTAAGGGACTTCTTTGTAGTCTCAGTAAATTTGCTAGTAGATCTTAATATATTAATGAAAGAATGAATGTGATCAATCTTCAGTTACTTTTTTTTTCTTTCTCAAATGTGGCAATCATTTAAAATCTTTATGATAAGAGAAGGAGCTTAGACTTTTCCAAATGTCTTCTTTTGTTCCTTGTCTGTTTCCTTGATGTGCTTTGCATAACATGACTACATACAGCAAATCAGTTATGCAACACAAGGGGAAATTGGTTTTATGGAAATTATTCATGTATTTCTTACATAAAGAGCATCATCTTTTCTGCTCTTCAACATTTGTGTATTTACATTGATAATAAACATATTAGGCTGTTATGACAAAAAGTGTTGGTATTTGTGACACTACTATGTCATAAAACCTATCAAATGTCAGTTCCAACCAAGGCATTGTAATAACTCTGTTACAATGTTACAATTCTGTATTTAGAGCTTTTATTAATAATCCACATAGTTTACTTAAACAGAGAATAGACTCTATTTCCATAGTACTGCAGATTAAATCCCATCCATTTAACATCTCTGAACCCAATAAAGAATGTGATATTTGTCTTTCTTTTCTGGCTCTGCCATCTCTAAAATAGCTGTACTGATTTGCAGGTTTGCAGTTGCCAAGCTTACCTAGTCTGTAAATGTAAATAGTCATTACAGTCGCTAAAAGTGTTTTAAATTTTACTCATCAGTAAAGAGAAAAACCAGTAAAATATATATTAAAACCTACTTAAAAAATCTCTTAGAGAGGAAAAATAGTAAGTACTAAGTTTAAATATGAAATTTTAATTCAACTTATAGCTATTATCATAGTCTGATTATTTATTGTGATGTAATCACAGAGCATTTTAATGTTACTTGATCTAGATAATAGTAGTAACACCTGTCCATTATAAATCCCAAAATATTGTGGAGAGTATGTCTGTATATAATAATGTCTATATACTATAGATTTTTTTTACTTGAATTTTGATAGTTATTCAGTGGCTGAAACCTGTGTGGAAGCAATAACACTGTAGTCAGCTGATTTAAAGGTATTATGTAAAAAGTGTTCAGAAACTTATCTCCATATCTGGGATTCTTCCCATTCCATAAGCCACATGTGATCCAATAAAGGATCAGTTAAAATCTTCCTTATCTTGAACTTGTGCTCTGACATTATATTAAATCATGATTTTGGTAAAAGCTGACCAAGACTCATTGCTAAGTATCATGCCTTTCTTTTTCTCTGTTTCAGCTGAGACAATCCCAGTCATACTGCACAGACACAGAATGCCTTCAGGAATGTGAGTAACTGTTCAGATCAGGTGCATGGAGGTAAAATGAACAGCAGTAATTAAAATATAGTCTGACAGGTCTTTAAAATGCAACAGTTGATTTAATGTTATAGGAACATATTACATTAGAACAAATACTACAGTAATAAAATTCGCATTTTGGGGAGGTAATTTGTGAGAATCTGTGATGTGGGTGGACATTTGTACATTGGAAGCACTGTGTGGAAACAGCATTGGTTAGAAGCCTGGAGGTGTTGATATACCAGTACGACCATTAATCAGGTCCCAAGCATTAGTGAATCTTCCATTAGCCTCCAAATAGGATGATCTGGGGAATGATAGGGGAAAATTTGGAGGGGGTTTTATTTGACCTCCTTCCAGGCATAGCAGCCTAACCAGTGAAGACTACATATGGAGCACAGATTCCCCCACATACACGTTCACAGCTGGGGTTGGGTGACTTACTGGCAGTACTATGAACCCTCTACTCCTCTGTGAAGGAGAGGAGTTCCCCCCCAGCTCTGACTCAAGGTGACATGCACTGTGACTGCATTTCTATTGACTTGGTGCCTGTGTAGTTAATGAAGCAAAGGACTGATGTATACACTTCCTTGGAATTTACTGCGAAATACATCAAAAAACCTCTCCCAAACAGTGGGACAGTCAAATGTTACTAGCATCTGCAGTGGAGCATAGCTGGTCAGAGGTTATGCAGTAATGAAAGCTTACCCTGAGGCACTGTGTTTACACTTTTCATGATCTAGAGAGAACACTGCCAAATGTTTATAAATAAAAATGAAGTGGATCTGTTTTTCCTATATTGTTTTATCAGTTGAGCATATGAACTCACTGAATTAGCTTGCATCAGGACTACTGTAATGCTGAGGGAGCAGTGAGCACCTGACCAGTGTTCCTGGAAGCAAGAGCTGCTGGTGCCATTCTCTTCTGCAGGTCCAGGAGCAGTGCAGGCAAAGTTTCCAGGATCTTGGGAAGAGAGCATGCCTTTGTTCACTCTTCGTTCCTCCCTCTTCACTCCCCTGTGAAACCTGTTTAGAGATGGGCATCCAACTCGGACTTGCTCTGTGCTCTCCCAGTGTGAAACAGCTGCAGACTCATTGCTGTGCTGGGCTGAAGGGAGAAGACTATGTAAAACCTGGAAAAAAGACAGTGGGGCACAGGTCCTGTAGAGTACTGCTGGTTTACTCTTTCTTTATGGGCTTTCCAAGTTATGCAGTCTGTGACTTCCCGCGCCCCTTCTCTCCCAGATGCACCTGTCCAAGGCCAGACTTTTTAGTCTCCCACACCTTAGACTTCTATGTCTTTTTTTTTTAATCACAGACATGTAGGAGAGGGAAAGTGGCAGATGACGAGAGACAGAATATTTTCTCTATTGGAAGTAGACACAGACAGGCTGTGCAGCTTTCTGAGCTTTAGTCCACAGTCAAAACAAAGCAATGGTAGGTCATTCTCACTCGAGCCTTGGGAGTCTTGCATCATCTATATTTATGAAGCTTTTAGATGAAAGACTGTATAAATTAGTAAGTTCTGATATGCGTGGGCACAAAGCTTGTGGGACAGCTTTCATGTTACCAAGCTGTAGTACAGTGGAAATTTGAATGGTTTGCGACAAATAGCTTTCCATCCTGAGAGAGATCCTTGCAATGACTGTGCAGATGCAAACAATTTGGCAGCAATTGTTCCAAACCAGTGGTTTGTTTCAAAAACCAAAGCAAAAATTATAGAGTAAATCCTCTCCTATGCTATTATATTGCCTAAAATTTAGGTCCAGCAAAGGTATTTTCCTGCTGATGCAATGGCACTGCCTGCCTGTGTGTCAGATTATTTTGTGACGCTTCTATGATTCTGTGCTTGCACCAGTCTGTAAGACCCCCAGGAGTCAAAGGCAAAAATAAACAGATTAAGCCTGGAGAAGCTTCTAGAGATGTTTTCAGAGACAGATTAAAACAATTCTGGGCCAGTCTTCTGTCTGTTGCTTCATCCTGTTCTGATGAGCTGTACAGTGATGAGCTTATGTTTGGGGCGGGTCTTTTCTTCCTTAAGTCCCACAGCTCCATTTCCTGTTACTTGCTGACTTTGATTCCTCATTTCAGAACCTCGATATGAAGAAGCTTGTTTCACTCCCACCCATTTGCTCATTTCCAGGATTTGGTCTTCCTTTTGGAAGCACAGCTGGGAATGTTGTCATACAGATTCTTAAATTGCAAGATTGTGGAATAACTGATCAAATGTATGTGGTTTTGTTTTGGGAGACGTCAGGGCTGGGGTTCAGCCAATGTCACAGCAGTGTCATGTGTTATGATGTTGCTACGAGCTGGAAGTTCTCAGAAACACCTCAGTTGATTCTTCTTGAGTATGCTTTATTTTTTCAACCCTTTGATTTCTGTTCTTTTTTTAGATTTTTGGAGCCATATCAGAGCAGTAGTACTAGGGCTTCCTCATTCACATTTTTATGTTGTCTATAAATTCTTATTTATTGTTGTTGGCACCATTATGTCATCGTGACTACTCTGCAGAGAGTTTCCTGCCAGGGTCAGGACCAGTGCTTTTGGAAGCATACAGAAAGATGTGAGCACCACTTCAATAAGCATTTGGGCACGCTGCTTGATGACTGTTCCTCTGCTGATTCTCCGTCAGAATATCTGCTGTGATGTTATAGTGTGTATCAGTCTGGTTCCCTTAATTTCAGTGGCTGCCTTGCAGAAAAAAAAGGCTGTAAGTTTTGAATAGGCATTTAATATTCTCTGGGGAATGCTTATGCTCAGCAAATCAGAAGATCTTACAGTTTCCCTTGAAGTGAAGAATAAGAGTTCTTTTCTGAATTCTGTCTAATGCAAGTGGAGCATGGAAGTTCTCTGACGTGTGTGGCAGTTGCAACATCAGCAGTTCATCCAGCCCAGGGAGGATCCCAGCTGGTACTGATCTGCTCTGATGGCTCATGGCCCTTCACAGTCAGCCTTCTGTGTCAAAGGAAATGAGGGGCTACTGCGTGAGGTTTTTCTGTGTTCTAGCAATTCCCAGATGTTGTGACCTTGATTTGCCACATTCATATTTTCAACACTATTGCCAGTGCTCTGCTAGCTTGTAATGTGGTCAGAGATGACTGTCTTGAATGTTGTCTACTCTACTTCCAAATTTCTATGTAATTTAAAATGCATACATATCTGTGATTCATCTTGAGTTGTACTCATCTAGGGGAGTCACAGACGCTAACCTAATAGCATGAAACATCTGCCAACTCTTCCCTCCCTTTTCTGGTAATTCCCTTCTCCCTTTCTCTGCTCAAGTCCTTTTTGGCTTTTTTTAAGTTACTTACTCCTGCCTTTGAGAGGGTCAGCTTGCTGGCATTATCTGCTGAAGGTCCCGCAGGCTCTTTGTCTTCCCTGATGATTCATTTGTAAGATACCTGTCTTCATACAGTTTCCTGCCTTTCTTTCACAGAACAGACAATGCTTAAAACACCATGAAAAAAGGAAGACACAAGTCAGAGAGCATGCTTTTGCCTTTCCACATGCAGATGTCAAACAGTAAAAAGATCCAAAAGGAGATATTTCTACCATGAGAGGGCAGACAAAAAGCACCACGTGGAATATACTTTTACAGTAATAGAAATACAGTCTCTTTTTCTTTAGAATGCAACCTTCCCATTTTTCTCTGAGAGAATACTCATTTATGTGGCCTAGTCTCTGTTTCTACAGGAAAAAGCAAGTCCAAGAACTGTATGTCATACATGGAGCAACAAATAGGATTCACCATAGTCATTAACTCCCATGGGAGTTAATCCCATAATCTCAGAACAGCTCCTAATAAAGCTTTCTCCTGCACAGAAGTAATTCAAACATGGTGTAAAAAAAAAAAATCCAGATTACCACAGGGGCACAGACTCGTTCAGAAGCGTGTGGATATATATGTATGCTGAGCCCAGGGGACCAGATACTCTAAAAATAAAGATCTTGGGCTGGAATCAATGTTATATGGAAAGGTAGGTTAGAGACTGTGTTTCATGTCACTCGGTGACATGAGAATATGTACTGATACATTCTGTACTAGTGGGTGTCTCCTGGGGATTGGAGGTTAATAACCAGATCCATCCATCAAAATGGGTGGTGGCAGGAACATTCATCTCAGAACAGGACAATCTTCTGTCTATCTGGAAATACCAGAAAATACTATCCACCAGTGCTCTTTATTCTTCAAGGAATCAAAAAACCACTTCTAAATTATCTGCAAAAAGTATCCATTAAAGGCACTGTGGCTGTGAACTATTAAAAAAAATATTTTTTTTCTTCTGCCCATCAGCATGAATTCCATCCTGCTTGGTTTCAGCTTCACTCAGCTGTTCTTTATCCATAAGCTGGCCTTATCTGATTATTTTGTGATCTCAGGGATGGAGGTCTTTGTAGTAAAAGATTGTTGTCTTCTAACTGCTTCCAGTATCTGAAACAGCTTCTTGTCTGTTCTCTTGATTTGTAATGCAAAGCTTTGAAAAGTGTGTTTCACCCCAGCTATATGAAACTTTGCTTATCCTCATTTCCTTAAGACATTAAAGGAACAGATTCTGAAATACCTCACATCCTTATTAAAGCACATGGTCATTTGTGAGAGATGTGGGTTTAACGGTTCTTGAATAGTGTAAACAGTCTTGTGGCTGTTTCAGTATCTGGCGTGCCTTGAGTAGGTAGTACAGGGCCAAGGTGTGTTAGATCAGCTGTTGTCTTGCTTAACTTAGTTCAGAATGTTTCAGCGCATTTGGTTCCATCTAAACCATATTGCAATGCAGGCTGGAAGAAACTGTGTCTTGCATGAATGCCTGTGGTTTCCCTCTGTGGTTCCTTCTGCTCCCTTCCCTGACCTGTAGCATGAGCTGACTCAGCATCATTTGCTTACCCCAACTTTTGTTTAACCACAGACTCTAAGTGCACTAAGGTTCAGCAAAAATTCCAGAAGGCAGTGTGACTAGTCCCTGTTTCTCTGCATTGTATGGGGAATCCTGACTAACAGATGAGCTTAATTTTCAGTGTTCTACCAAACACTGAGATTAGCTCAGACTGGTTAATATCATCAAGGTTGTGGGTTCAATCCCTGTAGGGTAAGGTTTGATGATCCTCATGGGTCTTTTCCAACTCAGAATATTCTATGAAATCTGTGAAATTTCTCCTGGGCTATGTACATGTATGCCAAAGCAAGTACCTAAGGCTTTCTTACTTGTTGCTGAAGGTAGTCTCAGGGTGGCTATTAATGTTGTCTGGAAGCCTCAAATTAAAGCAGTTGTTCTTTTCATACCAAAGTATATGCTAGTTTCCTGGATTTCATATATAAAGGTCATTCAAGATTTAAAATATTGATATATGATACTGATAACAATAATATTCTGCTCAACAAGACTGCAGGTCTAAACTTTTACAGTCACAATTCCATATGCTTTCTGAATCAATTATGTATAAGAGTTTAATGAATTAAAGGCTGTAGCATTCTTATTTATTTTCTGTGCACTATGCCTTCTCCTCATTTATAATGTCCTTTACTCACTCAGATCATCAAAAGAATTGTCACTTGTAATTGAATATACTTCTAATCATAAAACTCCTCTACTTTAGCAACTTCTCAGGTTTTGAAATGTCTATATTTTGGACACTGAAAAGGCAAGAACAGTTTCATTTGCTCATACATGTAATGGTAGTGTTTGTGTTGTGAGAAGCATGAGCTTCTATAATACATGGGTTTTTTTCTTCTTTGGCATTTTTAAGTGCATGTGATGTCAGTAAAGGACATCAGTCCAACAGCCCCAGCTCATGAAACCTTATTCCCAGGACAGCAGTGTGGTGAATGGCATAGCTGTGAGCTTCCCCACAGTGCCCCTCTGCTGTGTTAGGAACAAACCATTTCCATAGCAGAGCCTCTGTTGGAAATGCTACCCAGGAGGACAGTGATGAGAGTGGTTCTGTTGTATCAGCATCAGCCTTCAAGGAAATTACTCCAGCAGCTCACTGGGTGTAAGTCATCTAGCAAATGTTAAATAAGAACAACTTCCAACCAATACTGAATCCAGACTCGACTCCATAGTGAGATGATCCACACGAGTTGGGACAACTGAAAAATCTGACAGACACTAGTGTTTTCTGGATGTTAAAGTTTTCAACTTGGGTAATAAAATAGAACAGCTCTTCTCTTTCTGAAGATTATTCATTATAGCTCTCTATTTATTGCTCTGTATTAATTGATGGTCATTAATGAAGCTGTTAGAACTTCACGTACTGTGATAAAGATCCATGTAAGTACTATAGGTAATTAACTGTACATTGGTTTACACTTCAGCTGACAACAGTAGTTACTGTTTTATTATTTGAAATTATGTTTCAGAGGAGAAAAGTTTTTTTAAAATGTGCAGGTATTTGCAAGAGCTTGTTGATCCAAAAAGACTAACCACCCATTTCCAGCCTGAGGGAACTTTCTAAGTTTATTTCTATGTGTTGATGACTCAGACATTCCATATGAAAATTGGGTGTAAAATTTTTACACTGTGTTCCTGGGCTTCACTTTTTAATGTATCTCTACAGCACTTTTTCCTTTCCTGGTAGATATGTTTTTCTTGATGCTAACAGAAATGCCACATGACCTGGATGATCAGTCATGAAGATCTGACATATTGACACTGACACTTGTTCAAACAAACTCTCAAGAAATAACTTACAGCAGTCAACAAATTGATAACCATTAGTTTGCTCCCTTCTTGTAGAATTAGAATGTTCTCTGTGTGGGGCCTAACAATGGAGTCTAAGCTCTCTTTAGTCATATTCTTTTATTTGTTTGAGGCAAAAAACAAAGACCAACATACATACAGATTTATTTCCCACATAAATATATTTTGCATCAAGTTTCTTAAACACAAAGTGTGCATTTGTCATCTCCAGGTCACCAAGAGTTAATATAAACTAAGAAATACTCATGATGATTCTGAAAACACCAGTGAAATCTTATGAAAACAGATTCTTTTTTCAAATGGATAAGAAATGTGATAAAAGAACAGTGTAACGCTAATGAAGAATTACTGTCTCAAAGTGAAAATGAGGGACCAATCGGAAAACTCAATCGAAAAGTATTTCAGGGTTTTTTTCTGAGACTTATATTGCATTTTTGTTTTCATTTGGGGAAAAGAACTCTGCTGTCACTCTGTGTTATAACTTGAGTTTTCCTTATCTGTAGTGCCAGGACCAAACTCGTCCAGTGACAATGGCATCAGCTTCACCATGATAATGATGGCATGGGTGGTGATTGCACTTGTCTTGTTCTTACTGAGACCGAATAATCTAAGAGGATCAAACACAGCCGGAAAGCCAACCAGCCAACATAATGTAAGTGCATCTTCAAGGGAGATTCTGTAATAGTAATTAATTTTTTTCTTCTATTTTTTCCCCTGTATTTTCTTGGAACTCCATTAGAAATGAAAATGAGTAAAACCGAAGTGAAAATAGAATCACGAAGGCCAAGTGTGAAGCCTGCCATGGGATGGAGCAGGCATGGGTGACTAAGTGACGTAATGTCCTCTGGACGCTGTCTATCCCTGCTTGGAACTGCCTTCTTATGTGTGAGGGGACAATCACAGCTTTAAGAGAAGTCAGTAAACAAAATTACAGCATAAAACGGAGAAGGTGATCTTCAGAAAAATCCCTATCGATGCAGGAAACAGTATAGTTCTTTGATGCTCCTTTACTCGAAATATTTAAAGATGCACTGAAAGATCATAAAAGAAAGCACAGTGTAACGCTTCTGAGTTCTTTTATTGCTAAATCCTCTTCTGTGAAACACTGTTTCTAATTCTGTACCTGCTTTTTTCTTTCTTTTCCTCCTTTCTTCCCCCAAGGGACAAGAACCACCAGCCCCACCAGTGGACTAGAGCGTTCAGTATTGGAAAATTTCAGCAGCTAAAACCTTGCATGACCAAATGAACGAAGAGACCAGATTACTCCTAAAACCCATTCAATACTGTTTTCTTTTCTCATTTATATAGAGCAGAATTATCATTCAGCAGTAATCTTCATGAACTGCTTTTAGCAACTTCAATTTTAAGTTAATTTTTGCTTTGTATGTTATTACAATTCCTAGTAGATTGTAATTTGAATAATGATAAGGCATTGCAGGGGTTTTTTGGTTGTTACTGTTACTATGGACATTCCGCTCAGTCTCTTTCTGTTACAGTGATCTTAATTTCTTTGATGTGATTTCTGATATTCATTGAAAGAAAAAGAAAATCCCAGTGCATCTATAATAATGGAGGGTTACTGACCTTTCTTCAGATTAATTCATATTTCTTCTCCAGTATGCTTTTGAGAGTTATATTATGGTTGGAAGCATTAACTTAGTTATGTGGTGAAAAATAGAAATTATTTTATATTTGCCCTTGGTTCAGAGCAACTTTTAGTCTGGTCTTTGGACCACTAACATAGTTTTCAGGGTTGTTGGCAAAAGCACAGATTGTCCACTAGAATTATAATCTCTCTGTGTGTGCGCACATAAGTGAATATGACAATTGCCACTGTCAAAGCTTTGACCTATATATTGGGAACTTTACACAGAAGATTATACCACCAAAAAACCAGTAATTTAGTCTTGTTCATATATATATCTTATTCAATATGTTGTCAAAAAATATATTCTAAAACCAGATATGTTTACTTATAGACTTTATGAAAAGAGAAATTTAGTAAGAAGAACTTGGTAGAATTTTTTGTCCTGGTATAGTCTTTTATTAATTAGTATCTTAACAAGTTTTTAGCCATGATGTAATGTATATTGGACAGGATGAAATCATACCAAGGAGTTACCAAGGTTACCAACTTTTGGTATACAACATGTTCTGAATTATTCAGGTTTTTTCACCTGTATGTTGTCAGCAATTCTTAACATTTCATCCTTATCTACTAGTTGCAATTGTAGAATAACAAACTTGCAGATGACCACATATGGCATGTCTTTTCCCTCTAATGTTTGAGTGTGTGTGTGGTGTGTTTATGTGTGTGTACGTGTGGCTGTGCACACACCTGTGCACGTCCCATTGTAGCAAATGGGAATGAGTTTTTTGATGTACATTAATTTAAAAACATTTTAAAGATGTACAGAAAAGCGACACTGTATATTTTTCTTGTTCAATTTGAAAAATTGATGAGAATAATGTAAAGAACATTTTTATGTTACCAACATGAAGCTTCTTTCCTTAAAGGTCAGTAGAACAGACATATGGGAATTCAAAGCCTTACTCTACAAACCTTTATTCCATGAGGACTGTAGTTACGGAGCTGAAGGGACTTACTGTTAAAGTGCAAAAAGGTTTGTATTAACAGGCTCTAACAAAAATCTTGCACCAGATCCCGTGGGTGACAGATACAGGGTTTTCCCCTCAGGGTAAATGGTGGGCCAGCTAAGCCTCCTGGTAAAGGTACAGTGTAGACTTGAAAAAAGGCTTCTGTGATTTGGTGTAATTGACCTTTGAATTTCTGTGAAACAGTATGCTCCTAAGCATAGGAGCATGTATAAAAAATTAAGTAAAAAAAAAAAAGATTGGGCCAAGTGCTCTCTTTGACATCACTGCAGTGCCATGTAAAGTAATGAAACCGCAGCAGAGAAGCTGAGAGAATTTGTCCTATTATGTCTAATAGTGTACAGGCCACAAACACTGTGTAAAGATGTCACTGGGACAAGCACTCTGACTGTGCTTGCTTTTTGCCTTCCATGTACATTTATATTTGGGATACTGTTTTGAATAGAACAAGTAATACAGCATCATTTCGTTGAACCAACAAGGAAACATATATAATCTCCAAGAGTGACCTTTTCTCCAAGGATTTTTGGCCAGAATTCTTCACTACTGGAGGCATAAAACAAGTTTCCAATTGATTAAAAAGCCAACTGAAACATGCTTCTATTCAGACAGAGCACCACTCCTCATCCTGTTGGAAGTTGGTGAGATTTACAGATGTTCCTCACTTCCGAGGATCAGTCTCCCTTTACTTAAATGTCTGTGTATGTATTTATAAAACTCACCATGTGCACCCAGCTCTAAGAGTCTTGGCAACTGAACTTTTTGTTCAGAGGAATGTTGTGTTTTACCTTTAAATGAACTATCTTTGCTTGATTCCTCTAAGTAATTGTCCCAGTAATTTTATACATGTATGCTTTCCTCATGTAAATTGCTATTTTAAAATTTTCTATGTAAAAGAAAAAAAATTGGAAATATTTTATTGTAAAGTGTTTTACTAAAGAGCCAGGCCACTATCCCACATCAAAACATATGCCTTTTAAATTCAGATACTGTCTTCAAGATAAAACCTGCAGATCACCACTCTTAATTAAAATAAAAGTAACTAACCGTAGGACTGTACTTTGCCACTCTTATTTGTGTTAAATGGTGCCTTACTCATCAAGTAGTTGCACTGAAGTTTGTGGGACTACTCTGAGATAAAGTACTAGTAGCAGCTTTAGTAAGGGTGGCAGAAATCTGGCCTTTAGTTATATAATTTGCAATTAAATAATTGTCTCATGGTTACAGATGTTTATGGTAAATTTTGAGAAGTGTGGAAGAGATTAGTGGTATGAAAAGCTCCAAGATACGATCAGTTCTGTAATGATGGTTTTAAGCTTGGTAAGTAAAAGATGCAAGTTGTAGCAACTTGGGAAATATGGAGGGAAGTTTACAATTATACCTTAGCTTAGAACTTTGTTAAAATAATAGTATTTTTAGAGTCTGCTTAACACAATTATTATACTCTGAAATGAGAAATCATATGTATTCATGTATTGTCTGCAGATCACTTAGCCTTGTAATATCCATGATTGAAGAAGGAAGAGTGATGATGTCATGTACTTAATGTAAATCGGTGGTTTAAAATATCTGAATTATGCCAAACAAAAAATCATCTGTGCCATTTGCGGTTTCCTAGTAATCTTTTACTGAGTACTTGGACTGGGGTAAAGGGCTTGTACTATGCACTTTTTATTGACTTAACAAAATAAATAGCAATCATTAGTAAACTTCTGTCTTTGTCTTTTACTGCACCAACCTATCAATTTCTAAGGTAATTGGAAATCATCTATAACTAAGTATAGTAAAAATAGTGTGTCACCTGTGTAAGTTTTAAAACGTAAATTCTAACTTTTCTAATGGACACTTGTCTTCTGTATGTATCTCAAGCAAGCCAAAACAAATTACAAGCAGGTTCCAAGGTTTAAGATACTTTGATGACTAACATGGATATCTCTGCCTTTTGCTCTTTGAGGTAGTTATGCAACCTAAGGAATTAGAAATAGTACAGTAAGAAAAGTGATGACGGAGGCCAAATATGCTGATTATGTTGCTCATTTTAGATCAAATCCTACTACTTTGGGATTTGCAGACTATTTTCTAGTTCTGTATCTTGGCAGTGTTGAACCCAGAGCTGCTCTGAGGAAGGAAGATGCTGCAATGGATCCAAGGCAGCACGTAGGAGTAGCAGAGACCTGCTGCTTCCTCACTGTTCCCATGGAGTGCAGCACTTTTCTTCCTCCAGAAGCAGAGCACAAAATGCTGAGCACCACTTCAGCAGCAATTCAGATCCCTTGTTAGGGATTCCTGTTCTAATCCAAGGAAAAAAAGGAGAATGCCAGGGTAGCATTAGGGTTTAAAATATTATTATTTAAAATAATATACAGTTATCCAGAGATAGTGGCAATACCACTAATTCAGAATCAGAAACAAAATCAGAATGTATTTTTAGTAACAATTGTAGTAATAAAAATTTAGTAACAAATGCCTTAGGCATTTGAGTTGATCTAGAAAGTATATGAGCTTAATCAGAGATCATTAATGTCTGCTCATCAAGATTTACCCTTTTACTCAAACATGATGTTATAAATAATCCCTAAAACCAAAGCTAAACTTTACTCATAGGTACACTAGCTAAAATGTTGCCAAGGATGCACATGTCTATTGAGAAAAGTGATGCAGAAAGGAAATTACCACAAATTTCAATTCACTTTGTTGATTGGATCTGTGCAAAGCCTAGCTGTTCAGGATCACCAGATAACTGGAGATTACTTTGCCTCAAAGCCTGAAAAAAAAGTATCCTATCTAGAATGTTTGGGAGAGATACACCAAATCATTGCAGCAAAATATTCCATTAAGTGGGTTCCTTGCAAAAAATGGACAAGTTACATTCTTTTCTCCTTCTACCCTTCCTTGTTCAGTACCAGCCAACAGCCTACAGTGCCATTCACTGCAAAGGCATGGACCTTGGGGTGGGGGAAGAGGCAGAATTTCTCATGCTGAACCACATCCTCACTTGTAAAACAACACAACTCTTACCAACTTCCAGGGAGTTACACTCGGAGCATCAGCTGGAGATTTGTCTCTTCATACAAAAAGAGAAACTGAACACGTTACTTGATCTTGTATGAAAATTGTTGCCAACTCCCATACCATGCACTTTGTAGTAATATATAATAGCTACAAGAATCTGGCTTCCACGTTGCCTTTTTAACATGGTTAGAGAGTGTTGACCAAAGGGGCTGTCTGAAACAAATGTATTTCAATATTTGACCATGCATATTAATTCACCATATATACCCAGCTTTTTAAAAGTTTCACTCTTCTTGCTTGTATGGAAAATGATACTGTAAAATATTTTATAAAATGTTACTTGAAAATACAGCAATAATTTGTAATCAAAGATCACAAATAGCAATGTTTTTTAAAAAATCTTTTGCATTTATGGGTGTTGTTATTTCATCCTCCAAGCTATAAATGATGAAACAAAGGAGTAATTTCTGTGACTGTAGTTTTCAGACTTACACCTGGCTTAAAATTCATGAAGATTATTAATTTCTTCTGGTGCAAAAAAATACCCTTAAAGTGTAAAATATTCTAGAGATGAGAAAATATGTTTCCTAAGCAGACCAACAAAAAAAACCACCATTGTACAACATTCTGAAGGTCACAGCCATTGGTTCAATATAAAAAGCAAATCTTAGAAAAAGTGTAAGAGTTAAGTTTATGGCACAACTTGTAGATGAAATGATACATGACAAACTGAATATGATTAGCAAGAAAACAATCCAAAGAAGCCCCCACAGGACTGGACACTGTTACACCAAATACTGCATGTAACACATCACAGTCTGCTTTCTTGTGATCATGAATAAAAATCTGGTTTCTTCAGCTCTCCTAGTGATTTAATGCAGCCTTGTTTGAAATCAAAAATCCAAATAATCATTTTCCCACCTCATCAAATATTAGCTTGCAATTTGAATCACAAATGCATCTTGTCTCTGACACCCCTTCTGGCTGTATGCTTCTCTTGGGCTTCAGTATGTAAGGGAAGAGATTCAGCCAAATTTGCTTTTAGCTAGACTGTAACAGTGGATCAAAACATCACCTTATGTTATGTGAACAACTGTTAAGGCAATGGGACAGCTCAGCTGAGTAAAACTCTTTAAAGAAGGGGCTACAGGACAACTTCTCTCCAATGGGGCTGTGATGAAAAGCCATACCTTATCTGGCTGCTCTTACTTCCATTGCATTAATTTTAGCATTTAAGTTTTCTATATTGTGTTACTGAAGTGGCTGTTACACTTGAAATGGCTCTTCTGTTGGGAGCTGTAGGATGCCCCATGTTCAGAAAAGCAATGCTGCAGCCCACAGCTGCTGGTTCTGAAGGAATAGCTTTGATGTCTGGTGTGAAGTGTGTGGTTTCCAGAAGAACTTCAGAAGAAAAAACAAAGGAAAAAAAGAGGCATTTACAAAACAATAGACAAGGCCATCAAATGTAATCATGCCTGGAAGGAAGTGTGAATAATTCCTGTGTATACTGAGAGATTTAAATAATCTAATTAGATGAAGGTCTTATACTGGAAAAGAAAACATTGTCATGCAGTACTTTAAAGAAGAGGGTCTGAGAGGATGTTCTCATCATAGTTTTCAGGGTGGCCTTCCTCTGACTTTTAAACATTATTTTAATCCTGCATGGCTTTTGTTTTTTATTTATATTCCAATATTGTCCATGAGTCCAGCTGAAATTATTGTCCATATGTTCTGGTCCCTATGCAAACAGGCACATTGAACCTGACCAGAAATTCACTGCATAATTGCACTTTGAGGTGCTGGGTGTCACTAGCAAAAAAATACTGTATTATATTAAACATAATGGGCAACTGTCAAGACTGTTTAGCAGTGTTGAAGTTCCAGTGAGCCAGAGAGGTGGAGATGAGGAGAGGGTGTAAGTAGGGACATGCCAGGCAGAAAATGACTCTTGCAATGACACATAATGTTGGCTCTGAGCACATGTAGGAGCTTGGGTTCTCAGCTGTCTGTGTTCAAAAATGGCCTGTGGCTTGGTTTGTGCAGCTGTTGGAGCCTTTTCAACACTCATGCCCAGCCTCACAAGTGCTGTATAATCTCTTTAGCTGCATCTCCTTCCTTCCTTCCTCTTAGTGTTGTAAAATACAAAGCATGGATTCAAATACTGATCCAACTGGTCTTCTGGGCACTTTTGTGCCTCAGCCTAGGACTGTTCCTGAGTACCTCAGATTTCCTGGTTACAGGTGGGGTGCCTCCCAGTTGTGCTGTATCAAAAGTTAAAGAAAGGCTTGAGAGACAATGGTGGTTGTTGAATCTGTGTCAGATGTCAGTGTCACAAACTGATTACACAAACACAACTGCCTTTAGTTAATGATCAGCTAAATGTGGTTGGCGATTAGTCTGACATTAAACACTCCCTAGATACGATACAAAACTTCTTTCATATCCAGGGTTCCTTGCTGGCTTTTCCTCTCACCTCCAACATCAGGGTGCCAAGAGATTACACAATCATGCACTCATTTGCTCTTCATTGTCTTCCCTCTCCTTCCCCTCATCCTCCAAATCCTTCATAAATCATGACTTCTCCTTTGCATAATCTAACAACTTGTACATGAGAGGTGAAGAGTGGCATCTCTGCCCACCTTTGGCATTCAGATCACTCTTTGCTTGGTGGTTTCTGGAAAGGCAGAGATGCCTCAAACCCACTCCCTGATATGCTGGAAGAGGGATTCATCTGATCTAGTCGAGTGCCAATGCTGAAGGAAAACATACACCTGAAATCCCATTCCTCATGTTATTTAGGTTACTGATCCTGCAATGTGAAAATGTTCACAGCCTACACTGAGCCTTCAAAAAAAATGGAGCAGAACTCACACTTTCATTTTTAAAAATGGCCAGCAGTGGACCAGTCTCATCTACTTTGCAGCATCCCAGGGCTGTGTCTCCAAAGCAGCAGGCTTCAGGAGGTTTAATAGTATGCCTTGAAGCCTTATATAAGCTTTATTGCCTCTGTACAGTGTTGTAAAAAATTCTGCATACTGTTAAATGATGGGTCTGCCTGAATGGAAAAAAACAAAGAATACCTCATCCAGTAATTCAGAATTTTTACTGTAAGAAGAGGGAAGACCCAAACTCACTGCTCTTTCCATTGAAGTGCCTTTGAGCCCTGTGTTTTCCCCCGCCTTCATCTCAGGAGTGTAGGCTATAGGGAAACAAAAGCAGCCCTCATCATCCTTTTCACAGAAGCATAGAATCATTTAGGTTGGAAAACACTTCCAGGATCATCTAGTCCAACCTTTCAGGGTTAAGCTGTGCTGTTCTGCAGGAATTCGAGATCCATGTCCCAGGCAGGGGTGTGACAGCCTATCATGAAGATCCTTTGCTATGAGGAAAGGGACTGGGGTCCATTGCCTTATCCAAGGTCTATTCAGACATTTGAAACAGCTCTCAAATCATAGACTATAACCCAGACCTTTCTCTCCCAGGAAAGAGCCAGGATTACCAGACCTGAAAAATATTCCCTTTGAAACTCTTTGGCAAACTATCATAGTTGCAGGTGGAAAGTTAGATCCCCATGTTTCTTTATAATCTCCATGACACGGCACTCTCCTGAGGCAAGTATGCCTGAACCTCCTCATCGAGGAAGTCTGAAGCTTTTACCCTCACTCTTAGCAAACACAGTAGCTAGGAGGTATTAGCT